TTAAATAAAGACATCGGTTGCCCCAGGGCAGAGGCTGGGCCTTAGGCCCCCTTGCATCTCTGGAGCCTACACCAGGGCTGGCTCTTCTCTTGGTCCCACAGCAAACATTTGCAGGATGGCTGGCATGAGAACAAACCATAGGGAAAGTACCCAGCCTATCTGGTTATGTCCACAGTAGCAGCCAGTGTGTACACATAATCTACCAGGATCAATTATGCAACATTTATCCAGAGCCCATCAGGTCTCAGCAGGGTTCCAAACCCTGAGGGTCTAGCCTTGAATACAACCAAATTGCTTCTACAGAGAGGATAAACAGACATTTCAGAGGCAAACAACACAGAAACAAATTTTACTACACAGCTCTTGGAGATAGACAACTGACTAACAGAGCCTCAGATGCCACTCACACCAGCATGATTGAGGCCTGTTAGTGGACCCTAGTAACTGAGGAGGTATCACCAGAGGCTAACCTGCAGAGCCTCACCTGAGAGGCTGATCACTGGTGAGCTGCATAGGTCAGTCGCTAGAGGCCTCCAACCAACTGCAGAGCTACCTGACTGTTGTAGTTTGCCTTTATTGCTGTAATTAAACACTCTGACCAAATACAACTTCTGGAGGAAAAGGTTTATTGCATCTTACACTTCTAAGTGACAATTCATCTTTGAAAAAAGTCAGACAGGAACCTAGAGGCAGGAACTGAAGCACAGACCATGGAAGAGTGCTGTTTACTGGCTTGCTCCTCTGGTCTGTGCTCAGCCTGCTTTCTTATACCTGCCCAGGGGTGGTGCCACCCACAGTGGGCCGGGCCCTCCCACATCACTCAACAATCAAGAAAATGGGACTGGAAAGATGGCTCAGCAGTTAAGAGCACTGGTTGCTCTTGCAGAGGACCCAAGTTCAATTCTTAGCACCTACACGGTGGCTAACAACCATCCATAACTCCAGTTCCAGGAAAATCTGACACCTTCTTCTGATGTCCATGGGCATTGTATGACATGTGTGCACTTACATACATGCACAAAATACACTTATACACACAAAAATGAAAATAATATCTAAAAAGAAACAATCAAGAAAATGCCTCACAGACATGCCCACGGGCCAATCCTGATAGAGAAAATTCCATAGTTGAGGTTCCCTCTTCTGAGGCGCGTCAGGTTGACAACTGAAGCCAACCATGACACTGACCCTCAGTTCAGAGGCTAGAATCTATAAAACTGGAACCAAACTGGGGGGAGACTATTATATTGGGGCTTGTTGAGCTGAGCTGAGAGTGAATGAGAGTCAGGGGATCACATCAAGCAGGTGTAGGGACAGGGAGATGGAGGGGCACATGCTGGAATTCACCTGTACAGCCCACACTCCCCAGGGCAGGATTACACACTTTAGCACTGTTGGCTTTGGCACTGCTTTTTGTTTTGTTTTCTTTTTCCTGGTACTGGGAATTGAACCCAGGGCCTCATGTGTGCTTCACAAGCTCTCAATGACTGATATATCTATATCCCCAGCCATCTTTTTTACATTGTTACAGGGTCTTACTAATTTGCCCAGGCTGGCCTTAAACTTACTCTGTAGTCTAGGAAGTTCTCGAACTTGTAAAGCTCGTGCCTCAACCTCCTGAGTAGCTGGGATTACACGCCTGTGCCACCAGGACCCCCCTTCTCCATTTTTATTTTCCTTAGGAACAAATGAAAGGATTTGGAACACTGCCTGGCACAGGGTGGTCCCCCAAGAGACTGGTCCTCCTACCCTCTAAGATCATGTATTTGGTATATGTCATTAAAGACTTAAGAAGCAGACCAGTGGTCTGCCCAGAGGGGGTGACAGGAAAGGAACCAGACCTGGCCTCTGCCCTCTGAGAAAACATTCCTCCTTTCTGGCCCACTTGGCATTGCTGAATAGGGGCGAAATGGATCACTGCTCCTCAGCTTCCTTCTGCTTAAACTCTGGAGGGCTTATCACATTCTGCTTATAAGAGATGCTATATCTTTGCACAAATAATAGGGTTTATTTATTATTTATGTCTTTATTTTATGGGGCTGGGCGGGGAGCGAAACCCAAGGCCATTTATATGCTAATTAAATACTCACTGCTGAGACACAGCTCCAGTCTTACTAAGTTTTTTTGTTTGTTTTGAGACAGGGTCTCCCTAGTCCCCAGTGGGCCTGGAACTCTTGCTATGTAGAGCAGACTGGCCTTAATCTCACAGAGATCTGCCTGCCTCTGCCCACACTCAGCTAAGTTATTATAATTTATTTTTATTTATGTGTGTGTATGTCTGTGTCTTATGTGAGTGTATACCACATGTGTGCAGGTGCCCTCAGAGAAGGCCAGAAGAAGGCATTAGATCCCCTGGAGCTGGAGTTACAGGTTGTTATGAGTCACCCAATATGGGTGCTGGGAACTGAACTTGGGTCCTCTGCAAAAGCAGCAAACACTCGTAACCACTAAGCCATCTCTCTAGTCCCATTACTAAATTTTTGTTTTGTTTTGTTTTTTGAGACAGGGTCTCTCATAGCCCAGACTAGCCTTGAACTCACTATATAGCTAAGGAAACCTTGAACTACTGATCCTCCTGCCTCACCTCCTTAGTGCTGGAATTACAGGCATGTACCATCATGCCAGGTAGAACCTCTGTGCATACTATGCAAGTACTCTACCTACTGAGCTATATCCCCCCCTAAATTCCAGGTCCCTTTTAACTTCTTCACACCTGGAGTATCCCAGCCTTTGTTCCTGTGTAATCTTGCCCACACTAATGCTTCCTTCCTGGGAAGCCTTCACACTGCATCCCTCAAGTTTCAGAGATCTGCATTTCTAACTAGTGCCCTGTAGCTTGGCCCACTGAACTCCCACCCCTCAGATCAACCAGCACCCTATTTACTGGGGTAGGGCCCTGTGATGTGCCATCTACAGCCTCTTTCTAAAACTTTCCCTAGAGGACAACTGACTCACCTGGGAAGTCATGCTATCCCAGGATAACATAGCCAGTGACTAAGAGGGATGTAAAGCCTTCCCTCCGGGCCCTGAGGGATAACCCACAGGGCACTCTCTCCAGAGCTCCCTGGCAGCTAGCAGAGGCAATTCTTCCAGGATCCTCTCCAGCTACCTTCTGCTTGCCTGTCCTCTCCCTCTGTCCTGTCTCAGGGTTGTTCTTAGACACTCTGTATCCTAATCGCCCAAAATGCTTCCAAGGGAGGCTGGTTCACTACATCCAAAGACTAGGTTAAACAGTCAGCCTGGGGCCAAATAGATGCCAGCTACTTTGAGCTCTGTGACCCTGGCCATTACCTGACTTTTTCATGTGACTGCTTTCACTGTGTTGAGGAAAGAATATAAGGCAATAGTTTTGGAAGCATGGTGAGCATTAAAGAAGATGGAGCACACACAGTGTGTGATCCACGAGCATGTGGCAAGCACAGGTCACTGTCACTGCCATCTGACTTCTCTGAGGCCCCAGCTGATGGAGACAGGGTATCTCTCTATACCCTGATGCTGGTGAGAAACAGATTGAAACCTTCCACAGTGGCACACACCTGTAATTCTAACACTCTGGAAGTGGAGGCAGAAAGATCAGAAATTCAAAGTCATCCTCAGCTATATCATGAGTTTGAGACCAGCCTGGGCTACATGGGACCCTAAAGTCAAAGAATAACAATTTAATAGATTAAGAGGTACTAGTACCTTGTGCTGTTGTGACCCAGTGCAGACCTTTCAAGGTTCCTGGGGACTTTTCCCAACCTAGTGCCTTGCTGTGGAGGCTAGGCCCCTCCCCCAACCGGAGCTGGATACAGCTGTCCCAAATGCCCACATGTGCAATACTTAAAACAGCAGGTGCTCCTTCCCTTAGAGTTCTGGCACCGGCCTCTGATAGAAATCACAGAGTTGGCAGACCGTGGTACTTCCTAAAGGTGCCAGGGGAGAACCAGTTTCTTACTTGTTCACTTTCTGTTCAGTTGTAGACAGAATACGGTCCCTGAGGTCTTCTCTTGCTGGCTGTAAAAGGCTCAGCCTCACTTTTAGAGGCCAGTATAGTCATTGTTTGGGAGTTCCCTTCTGCCATCTTCCAAGTCAGCCAAGTGGAGGATTTAGGGTGTCTCTCTGACCTACCCTCTCTGGTCACCTGCTTTTAAGGACTGTGTGATTATATTGGGTCTACCTCTCTGATACAGTCACTTTAGTTCCCCATCTCAAGGTCCTCTGTTACATCTGCAAAGTCCCCTATGACATATAAGGTTAGAATGGAGCTGGAGATATGGCTCAGCAGTTAAGAACACTGGCAGCTCTTGTAGAGGACCCAAGTTGGGTCCCCAGCATCCACAGGGTGGCTAACAACCATCTGTAACTCTAATTCCAGGGAATCTAATACTCTCTTTTGGGCTTTTCCATATCTGCAAGCAAAACACTCATACATGGGGCTAGAAAGATGGCTCAGCTGTTAAGAGCACTGGCTGCTCTTGCAGAGGACCCAGGTTCAGTTTCTAGCTTCTACATGGAAGCTAACAACTGCCCATAACTCCAGTTCCAGGAGATCTGGTGCTGTCTTCTAGCCTCTTTGAGCATTGCACATACATAGTGCACTTACATACATGCAGGCAAAATACTCAGGCCCAGAAAAATAAATGAAATAAACCACTCATACACATAAAATTTTAAAAAGGGCGTGTACTAAGCCGGGTGTGGTGGTGCACACCTGTAGTCCCAGCACTTGGGAGGCAGAGGCAGGCGGATCTCTGTGAGTTCAAGGCCAGCCTGGTCTACATAGTGAGTTCCAGGACAGCTGGGGCTATAGGGAGACCCTGCTTCAAAAAGACAAAAAAAAAAAAAGAAAAAAAAAAAAAAAAAAAAAAAAAAAAAAAAAAAAAGAGGGAGGGGGTTAGGTACTGGAGACAAGAGCATCTTGTATGTGTTGAGGGATTGGGGGGTATGTTATCCTGCCTACCACAGCCACCCAGCATGGAGCCATCTCTGGTCTCACATCCATGACTTCCTCTATGTAGGGAGAGGTGTGTGCGATTCCCTGTGCTTCAGGGACCTATGGCCCCAACTGCTCATCTGTGTGCAGCTGTAGCAATGGTGGCACCTGCTCCCCAGTGGACGGCTCCTGCACCTGCAGAGAGGGTAAGTGCATGCCTCTCCCAGCCCCACCTCCGGGCCCAGGTGGGCTGACAGCTGAGGGTGTCAGGTGGGGCTGCTCCAGCCTACCCACCACACAGGGTCAGAGAGCCTGAGCTAGTCAGGGTTCAGTCAAGGAGACCCACAGCCGGAACCTGGAGGGCTTCCTTCCGGGGATTGCTGAGTATACAGAGAGAAGGTGAGCCACCTGGTACTAGCACCCTTGGGAGAAACTGTCACCAACGCTGCAGGGGCAGAAGGAGGAGACTGAGCTCCCTGATCCTTAGATGACTCACCTGGTGGGAGCTGGGATGACAGCTTCCTGGAAGTGCTAATGTTGGTCCTAGGAGACATAGCCACTGTCAAAGGCCTGGCCCCAGTCACATATGGTGTTGCATGTCTATAATCCCAGCACTTGAGGGCAGAGGCAAGAGGATTGGTAGTTCAAGGTCACCCTGGGCTACCTATTGAGATAGGCTTTCTGAAAAAATGAGTAAGGCTTGGCCCAAGGCTAGAGGAGAGGGTGTACCTGGTTCCTTTCCTGCTCTGGTCTATAGGCCAGGTCTCCCTCAGCCTGCCTGGAGATAGAAGAGGGGAGCAGGGATCTGCAGGCTGCAGGGCAGCATCCTAGTTAAGGGAACAGAAGAGGGAGGGGATTGACTTGTGGGTAAAAGTAGTGTTAAGCTTTGGAACCTGGAGAAGCTGCTAAGCCCATCGCTGGCCTGGGGAAAAAAATGCTCACCACCTGAGCTGGTCCCTGTTCCAATGGGCCCATCTGCAGCAGAAATTGTGAGCCTTGGGGAGGTAGGGACCCAGGTAACTGTGGCCATCAGGGACACTTCAGGTGGAGCTGAGGAAGTGGGCAGAAAGTCATGTTGGCCATGGAGAGGCAACACCCTTTGACCTCTCCCCAGGGTGGCAGGGCCTGGATTGCTCCTTGCCGTGTTCCAGTGGGACATGGGGCCTTAACTGCAACGAGAGCTGTGACTGTGCCAATGGAGCGGCCTGCAGCCCCATCAACGGTTCCTGTGCCTGCATGCCAGGCTGGCTGGGGGACACCTGCGACCTACCCTGCCCGGTAAGTGCCCACCTTAGTCCCTTGTACCCTCTCCTCCCTAGGGTTATGGCCCCAAAGAAGAGCTCTGAGTCAGGTAGTGCTAACAGTGGCCTTTTCCTACCCTGGAATTCAGCCCTCCCATCTGTAAAATAACCATTTATGGCAGAGGTGGTGACGAGGTATGCTTTCCCCTCCATGTTTTTGGTAGGCAAAGCAGACTGGCTGGCAGCTGTAGAATCCACTCCAGCAGGGCATGGTCAGCCCTCCCTAACCCAAGAAAAAGGCCGTTCCTTGGTAGTGTTTGAACTGCTGTCTGGTCATTGCAACTGTTGGGGAGGGGGTGGCAGTGAGCACCCTCCAGCAGTACCTCCCAAACTGAAGCACTGGATGATCCTTAGGCTGCTTCACCAATTGTTGTGAGACTAAACAAATGTGGGGTTGGGGGTCCTGGATTCAAATCCTGGTTTTGCCATATCCTGTTACCTTGAGCATGTTTCTTCACCTCTCTGGCAGCTTCTCATCTTTAAAGTGAGCATGGGTGGAGCTGTCTCATGATATTAGTGTGAGGATTAAGAGAACCGGCAGAGCAGGCACTTGTGACCTTGTGAGCACACAAGAAACGCATGTGATTCCCATTTTCTTCCCCAGTGATGAGAATAGGTTATTCTCATTCCTTATGTGGGACAGGTGTGTCACAATTAGCAAAGTACTTTTTGTCTTGTTTTATGGGACAGGATCTTACACAGTGTAGCCTAGGCTGGTCTTGAGCTCATGGCAGTCCTCCTGCCTCAGCTCCTGAGTGCTGGGATGACAGGCACCTTTTTGTTTGTTTGCTTGCTTGTTTGTTTGCCATCATACCAGACAACAAGGTGTATTTTCATTTACAATTTTAATGACCACCCTTAGTTTAGTATTGAAAAGTAGGGCAAGACCATCACCTCCCTCTCTCCAAACCATATTCCTGTTAACACAGCCAGATGATTCTCCAGAGTGACTTCATGGCCCTGTGGATGCCCAGTTATAAAGTGCCATTGCTGGGCCACAGACTGGTGTCTACATCCCTGAAGAGCCAATCAAAGTGTGTGGAAATCTGGGACTCCAGGTGTGATCATTTTTCTCTGTTTCTCCATAGGATGGCATGTTTGGGCTGAACTGCAGTGAGCGCTGTGACTGCAGCCACGCTGATGGCTGTGATCCTGTCACTGGCCACTGCTGCTGCTTGGCAGGATGGACAGGTAACCCTCTGCCCTGCCACTACCCAGGCCTTGTGCAACCAGGCTCTTCCTTTCTTCCTCTTGTCTAGCAGTCTTCTTTTATCATTTTCTTCCTACCTGCAAATACGTACCTTTTCCTTCATCTGCTCTGGGCTCTGGTTCTCCCTTCCAGCCCACCAAGCAATTTATTTTATTTTATTATTTTTTTGTGTGTGTGTGTGTATGTGTGTAAGATTTATTTTTATGTGTATATTTTGCCTGCATATATGTGTACCATGTGCATGCAGTGCCCATGGAGGCCAGCAGAAGGCATTGAATCCCCTGGAATTGGAGTACTGATGGTTATGAGCTGCCATGTGGGTTCTGGGAACCAAACCCAGGTCCTCTGCAAGAGCAGCCAGTGCTCTTAACCACTGAGTCATCTCTCCAGTCCCCCAAGCAAATGCTCTAAACACCTGTTATGTGCAGGCTCTGTTCTAGGGACTACATACACTGCAAAGCTACAAGTACTCAGCTTGTTTGTAAAGAACACGGCACCCCAGAACCCCAATCCCTGAGTCTATCCTGTCATACAGGGTGAACCCTTCTCTCCAGCATACTGCCAACACTGGTCCCCCAGGTCCTATCACTCATCTAGCCTTCTGCCTCCTGGTTGGTTCAGGCCTTCCTTTTTGCCTGAACATTCTGCACATGCTAGCCTGAAGTCTCCATCCACAAAATGCCAACAACCAGAATCCTTGAGAGTAATCCATGGGGCCACTTTGAAGTTTCAGTGTACCACTAAGTGCTCAGCACCTGGCACACATAAGTGGTCAGTAATGTAAGTCATGGCTGCCTGACTGACTGGTCCCAAGGCAGAAGGTGCTGAAGAGAAAGGAATACAGTGATTTCCAGCTATGTACATTCTCAGTACTCTCACAGGGTTTCACACAACTTTGTTTTGGGAGTCCAAGGCAGGGACATTCCTCCTTAGCATCCTCGAGTTGAGGTTCCCCGCCCTGCTGGCCGTTCCTCAGTGTGGTCCAGCCTGCTCATTGACCCCTACACTGTCAGCTACAGCCAAGTGGAAATTTACTTGAATTTTTTCATTGCCATAATTTTGAGTGAGTTGATCAGATTTTAATGACATCTGGTGCTTAAAAATTCTGACTTTGATGGACACCGTCTCAGCAAGGCCTCTGCTTGTTCTAAAGCCCATTTCCCCAAAGGTAGTCCTGAAGGCTTTTCAAAGAGGCCATTGATGTCGGGAGGTTTGTCAGGCAGAAAGAGACCTAGGAGAGCTGGGGAGGGGGAGGAGCACGGCCTCCCACACAGTGAGCACTCCTCTCCCCTCCCATCTCCTTCCTTTCTCCACACCTGGCTTGAGTGGCTTACACTCTGCCCTGCTTAGGTGCCTGTTGACAGCTGCCATCTTGCCTCACTGGCCTTGTCCTGAACATAATAGGTGCTCTCTAAATGCTTTATGAAGTCCATTTTAAAAACAGCTGGCCTGTAACCACACATGGAGAACTTAAAGATTATCTGCTCTGGCTCTCATGGTAGAGATGTGAGAAGGGAGCTGCAGAAGTCCCAAGACCTTGGGATGGGAGGCCCAGGTTACACTACAAGAGGGACCATTTACTCATTCAATGAGCAAGTCTTTTTTTTTTTGTAAAGACTTTTTTTTTTTTTTTTTTTTTGCATGCACGCAGCTACTCCCTTGAGGCTAGAAGAGGGTGTTAGATCCCTTGGAGCTGGAGATAAAGACAGTTGCGAGCTGCCGGGTGTTGGTGCTGGGAACTGAACTCAGGTCCTCTGCAAGAGCAGCAAATGCTCTTGAGTACTGTGCCGTCTCTCCAGACCCTGTTTTGTTTTATTGTTATTGCTGTTGTTTTGAATCAGGATCTCACGTAGCCTAGGCTGGCCTCAAACTCATTATGTAGCTGAGGATGACTTTGAACTCCTGATCTTCCTGCTGAGTGCTGGGTCTACAGGATGCACCACACTGAATACAGTGCTGGGAACTGAACCAGGTACATACCCTATCAACTGAGCCACATCCCAGCCCTAAGGAACAAGTCTTTATTTAGCAGCCCTTTGGGCCCAGCATTGGACCAGGCTCAGTAGTAAGTGGCAACAGCCACAATCCTGAGCACCTACTGTGTGCCATACTGTGCCAGGCAGCTGTGCTGCAGTGACACCGCAGATGGCATCAATACTGTGAGCAGAGCCTGAGTCAGCAGGACCATTCCTCCTGTTATGTTGCTGGCAGTGGGTAGGAGCCTGGTGTATGAAACAGTTGTAACAGGTCGGGGCAATGCTGCATGTCAAACAGATCTGTGGACTCCTGGGCAGGAAGGCTTCAAGGATAAGGATGTGCTGCTGTCTGACTGCTGGCTTTGAGTACAGGTTCTTAGCTCTAGCCGCCAGTGTACACTGAGGAGAGGATCCTGAAAACCATAGCCAGGGGATTCCTAGGGCTAAGAAGGGAACAGCCTTTGGAAAGAGATTTTTGTTTCCATTTTCACATGTGTATATGTGTTATGCATCGTATATATAAACACTGCGTGCGCACACATTTCTAGGCTGCATGTGTACATGGAAGTCCAAGGTTGATGTCAGGAATAATCTTCCATTTCTCTTCCACATTATTCATCAAGTCAGGGTCTCTCAATCAAACCCAGGGCTCGCCAGTACCCCAACTCTTGTTATCCAGCTTGCTCTGGGAATCCAGCTCTGCCACCTGGGATTACAGATAGGCTGCCATGCCCACCTGACATTTCCATGGGTTCTAGGGGTCTGAACTCTCAGTCCTCACACTCTGCATGGCAAAGTGCTTCACCACTAAGCCATCTCTCCATTCCCTGAAGGGAGATTATTGCTCCTACTCAACTATGGGAAGACTGGAGATCCCCCCCCCCCAAGGTAACTGATGCTGCTGACTGTCTCCCCCAGACCAGGGCTGCCCCTTGGGTGACACCAGCAAGTCCCTTCTGGAATTGGGTATTCCACATAAGAAGAGCCATTGATGGTAAATTACAGGAAATTCTTTACAGGAGGTCGTTACCTCCAACAACAGCCCTAATCCCTCAGAAGGGGCCCAAATATAACTGCCTACTCCTAGAAGTCAGCAGGGCCTGGCAGCCCCCTGCAGTTTACACTTTGACCTCTTACTCTTTATCTGAGAGACAGGACATGGTTTTACAGCAATCACCTGGGAAAGACAGCCGCCACAAGCTGCCATGAGCTCTGTAGGGTTGGTTGGTTTGTTGGTTTTTTTGTTGTCTACATTGTGTTTAGTACCTCACAATGCTACCTACATTTTGAAATATTTTTATTTTATGTGTATGAGTGTATTGCCTGAATGTATGCAAGTGCCCCTCTGTCATGCAATGCCCGCGGAGGTCAGAAGAGGGTGTTGGATTCCCTGGAACTCAAGTTATGGATAGTTGTTAGCTGCCACATAGGTGCTGGGAATTGAACCTGGGTCCTCTGCAAGAACAGCCAGTGCTCTTAACCTGAGTCATCTCTCAAGCCCAACACATACATTTTTTAAAAGAGTTGTTTTGAGACAAGTTCTCATGTACCCCAGGCTGTCAGCTGTGTAGCCGAGGATAACCTGGAACTTCTGAACCTCTTTGTCTCCACCTCCCCAGTGCTGTGGGCACCACTACACTCAGTTAACACACATACTTTAAGAACAGAGAAGTAAGTGTGTGTGTGTGTGTGTGTGTGTGTGTGTGTGTGTGTGTGTTGCCTTGAGCAAACTGAAAAGAGCACTGAGTACACAGGGGGCATGGGAGGCCCCTCCACACAGCTAAGCTCAGGCTCATGGAGTCTGCAGATAACAGATTGAAAATGGTTTCAATTTTTACATCTGTGTATTCGGGGGGTGTGCACATTCCATGGTCCCCGTGTGGAGGTCAGAGGGCAACTTTCAGGAGTTGGTTCTCTCATTCCACCATGTGGGTTTCAGGAATGAAACTCAGGTCATCAGGCTTGGCGGCAGGCACATTTATATGTTGAGCCATCTCTCCAGCCCCTAAAGTATCTTAAAAAAAGAAAAACAAAGTTCACTGAATGGGGAGTGTAGTTTACTGGTAGAGTGCTTGTCTAGTATGTATGAAGTCCTGGGTTCAGTCCCTACCACCACCAAAAAACATGTTTAGTACAGTTCACTGCCAACCAAAGACAAATAATTTGCATCTATGCTGATTGTGAACAGACTTTCCTGGTTGTTATTTACATAAGAACTATCTACATAGCACTCAAGTTGTATGTTGTATTATAAATTGTTTAGAGATGATGTAACAGATATGGGAGGGACTGGAGCTGTAGCTCAATTGGTAGAGTGCTTGCTTGCCATGCATAAAGCCCTGGGCTTCATCCCAGCACTGCATAAAACCAGGCATGGTAGCCCATTCCAGTAATCCTAGCACTAGGGAGGGGGTAACAGGAGCATGAGAGGTTCAAGATCATTCTCAGCTCCAGAGTAAGTTCAAGGTCAACCTGGGCTACATGAGACCAAATCTCAAAAGAAAAAAAAATTATATAGGAGGCTATATATGAAAATTCTTCTATAAAATGACTTAATCATGGATAAGGAGAGTCTACTTTAATTAGGAAAAGGAAACCCGAAGAGGTTCCCAATCTTTCAAAAGGAGGTTGTGTACCCTTTCCCAAGCTTAAGTCAGTTCATGATGACTGCCCCTGGATTCACCTCTTGACACCCTGAAACTCTATAGGAGAGGCTTTATCAGTGAGGGAGACTGATGCACCTGCCACATTCTCACTGGGTAAGCTCTCACTCCCTGGGGAGAAGCCCCCACCTGTTTCCCAGGGATGGCATCTGACACCCACAGTAAGGTTGAGACACAAGGTGAGGCACATGAAGAAGCCCGGCTTCAAGTAAGGAGGCCTTACCTCACCTCCCTAGGTCCCCAGCCCTCTGCCTCTCCACGTCTCCTCTCCCACCTCCCTGCTGGGTGGGCCTGCAGATTCTAGCTGCCTCCAAATTGGTCCCACTGCTATCCTTCACTACTAAGGCTGACTGTTTGCTGGGCAGGGCAGTCTTCGTCCCTCTTGCTTTCTCTCTCAGTCCCTGTCCTTATAGCAAGGCAGACATAATTTTTAAAGTAATCTTGCTCCCCTTGGAGACTTTGATACCTTCCAAAGCCCAGCTGGTCTCCTGAGCCTGGTACAATCACCTAACAATGTCAGACTGGAAGGGGTTCTGTCTGGGAGGAGCCCCTGCCCTGGCCTTTTCAAATTCCCTCTTAGCTTCTAGGCTGAAATCAGCCCAGCTCAAATTTTCTATGCTCTCAGGAGGACTGTATCTTGTTCTCTCTTATTGAGAAATCTCATCCATTCCCTCATAGGCTGATGTTTATCAAAGTGAGTGATATTGTATCAGTGTGTTGGGGTACAGCTAGCATTTTTTAAAGTAACTGGTTTATTTTATACATGTGTGTGTATATATATGATACAAAAAGTGTAGTATGTGTGTGTACATTTCGCTTTTGCTGTAGTTTTGTGGCAGGGTCTTACTATATAGCCCTGGCTGATTTGGTTTTATAAACCAGGTTGACCTCCAACTCAGAGATCTGCCTCCCTCTGCCTCCCAAGTTCTGGGGTTAAAGATATATGCTACCACTCCTGGCTTATGTATTTTTTTTTCTGAGACAGGGTCTCATGTAGCCCAGGCTGGCATTGAACTCACTATTTAGCTAAGGATGACCTTTTACTTTTTTTATTAAAAAACTTATGATAGTGTTTGTGCATGTGTGATGTGGGTGTGGGCATACATGTGCTATAGTACACATGTGGAGGTCAAAAGACAAATTTGTGGAATCAGTTCTCTCTCTCTACCTGTACATGAGTTCTGTTGATGGAACACAAGTCATCAGGCTTGCCTGCCAAGCATCTTTACCCTCTGAGCCATCTTACTGGTCCAATCTTGAACTTAAGCTCCTCCTGCCTCTACCTCCTGAGTGCTGGGATTACAGGCAGATACCACCACACTCAGTTTATGTGGTGCTGGAGTTGGAACCCAGGACTTTGTGCATGCTAGACAAGCACTACACCAACTGAGCTATATCCCCAGCTCCTCCCAGGCCTGCTCATGGTGCCAGATCATCTAGTGCCCTCTTGCTGCTACCATTTCCTCCCTTGCTGGGTGCATTGAGCCTACAGTAGCTCTGCCATTGTGCTGTGCTTAGTCTTCCTTTACCTCCTGCTTTCTGCTCATAGGAGTCCTTTGCTTGGTTGATTCCTTCTTGTCTTTGAGGACCCTGGAAGGCTATGGCCTCCTCCCAAAAGTCCCTGCATCAGCCCTGCCTCCACTGGGTTTCCTTTCACATTTCCCCTGCCTTCATTCCTTACCACTGACCCTTCGGCCCACAGGCATCCACTGTGACAGCACATGCCCTCCAGGTCGCTGGGGTCCCAACTGCTCGGTGTCCTGCAGCTGTGAGAATGGAGGCTCCTGCTCCCCAGAAGATGGGAGCTGCGAATGTGCCCCTGGCTTCCGAGGACCCCTATGCCAGAGAAGTAAGGCTATGTCCCCACCCTGAAGCGTTCTGGCAGCTCACTCTTCTTCCCAGTCTGAAGTAGTGCTGGCCTATGGGAGGTTGGCTATGGGCGGCAGTGCCCCTCTCTCCCCTCCATTTTGTACCTTCCTCTCCCTGCACTGTCCCCAAGCTCAGCCTCTCATCTCAATAGCTTCAGGAGCAGCCCACAGTTCCTCTCTTCAGGTGTAGACTTCAGGGACTCCAGGTATAGGAGCCTAGACACTCCCCATTTTCAAGGAATCTGTCTATTGGGATGGGGAACAGGAAGGCTGGCTGGGTTGACTGGGACCCCAGCTTCTGACCACCATCTCCCCCAACCCTCAGTCTGCCCACCAGGGTTCTACGGCCATGGCTGCGCTCAGCCTTGTCCCCTCTGTGTGCATAGCAATGGACCCTGCCATCACGTCAGTGGGATCTGTGAGTGCCTGCCAGGATTCTCTGGAGCCTTGTGCAATCAAGGTACCTTCAACTGGTGGGGAGGCCAGGGTAGGGAGCAAGGGATTCCCTTCCTGCTCTGTAGGGAACTGGACAGCATGTGGCATGAGACAAAGTCACTATGCAGTTAAAGGGACCAGCTTGGAGATGTTAAAGGACATACCTTCAGTCTCACAGCTGGCAAGAGGCAGAAATGAATTCAGATTCCAACATCCTTGCTAAAAGGATGGAAAAATAAGCCAGGCATGGCAGTATATACCTATAAGCCCAGTACTTAAGAGGCTGAGGCAGGAGGATCACAGATTCAAGATCAGCCTGGGCTACCTAGCAAGGCCCTGTCTCAAAAAACCAAAACCAGAGCTGAGGATGTACTCAGTTGGTACAGTGCTTGCCTAGCATGCATGAGGCCTTGGGTTTGAACCCCGACACTTCATGGACTGGATGTGGTGGCATATACCTGTAATTCCAGCACTCAGGAGGTGGAGGCAGGAGAATCCAGCACTTCAAGGTCAGCCTCAGTTACAAAGAGAGGTGGTGACTAGCCTTGGCTACATAAAACCATGTCTCAAAAAATAAAACAAGCAAGCAAACAAAAGGCCGAGTCATAAAATGATCATAGATACATCTGGTGGCCCCAGTGAGCTGTGCTGAGTGCTGAGTAGTAAAGGCAGTGGTATAGAGATGGCCACTCTCCAGCCTGTCCTCCAGCCCCTACATCCCTTCAGGTCAACAGCACTAATCCTGGCCACACATACTTCCCCGTCTCAACCTCAGAATCCCTCACATCACTCCAGGCCTTCAGCACACTGCACAGAAGCTGAAAGGGACCATAAAGCTTGCAATGCTGTGCTTCCCAACAGCCTAGTTCTCAGGGGGCAAGCACCTGCCTTACAACACTTGGAAGAGTCCTGTGACAAACATTTCTGCCATGGCAGACATCAACACCACTGGTAAAAATCCTTCTATATTAGCTATCATGAGAGGATAGAACTAGACCCAGCACACACCATCCACTGCTCCATGGGTGGCTCCTTAGGCCCAGGCAGTTTGACAGTGAGGTAAGGGACAGTCCATGTACTTTGCAGGACTTCAACTGGGCTTTACTCATCAGGGTGAAGGACAGGCTTTCTGGGTGAGCAGAGCCTGGGCATGCTACTGCCCAGCAATAGGGAATGGATAAAGGATGTGGCAACCAGAGATGGGGAGAGGGCTCAGAAGGCAGGTTAGAGCTTAGAACAGCTTAGAACCTGGTCCAGCTTGGATACCAGCTTGCAGAATTGACAGTCTAGCCCCTACAAGGAAAGGAATCTGAGGATAAGGTGAACTCAGAGCTAAAGGCAACTTCAAGGTCACCTAGACAAGATTGTCACCTGGCCTTTGCTTAAATACTTCTCTTGTTGGAAAGCTCACTACCTCTCACAGAATCCAGTCTTTTGATAAACAGTCTACTGAGCTGGGCTATTTTTAATACACGAATGGAAGTTTGACTCCATGATACGTTGAGGTCATGAGAAGTTTGGGCCCCAGGAAAACATATGTGACAGTTTCATTTGCTTGTAGCCCTCCTAGGATGGTTTAATCACTACCTGACAGGACAAGGTTTATTTATTAAACATAGGAGACCCTCCTGTCAATAGAAACAGGCCCAGTCTAAATTAGGAGCTATGCTGCCCAAGGAGGAACTCTTGCAGCCCACTTCTTCTGATTTATTGCCCACTGGCCTAATGAGTATTTTCCACGTATAGATCTAATAGAGCTTGCTATTAATGGCAACTGCCCTGGTTAAGTCTCAAACCTTGTAAAAAATTGAACTGACAGTTTCTAATGACTGGCTTTCCAGTGAGTTACAAATTATGGACACTGCTTCCCTGGAATCATTAAACATAGATTAAATATAACCCGATGTTTTCTTTTCACTAACCCCTCCTCTTTCCTCCCCTTACCATCCCTGATTCTTGATTCAGCTAAGAAGTTGACCAATTAATGCATTAGACTGATCACAGTAAGCAGCTCAGCGGGTGAATTTGTCTGCCTTGTGGGGGCATGGGGGAGACTTTAAAGAGGAGACTGTCTTGTTAGAACAGCTCAGAGTTGTGGGGTTAAGGGTGTTAGGAGAGGCTCTGACACTTTGCTCACACAGAGCCTGATGCTCCATGTGGCTCAGCCAACAGAGGGCCTCCAAGGTAAGAGTGTAAGGAAGCCTTCTCCCAAGACAGAGGGGTATGGAATAGGGTCCTCTGAACACTGAGTCTGAGCAGCAAACCAGTGAAGTCTTCCTTCAGGCAAGAGACTTGCCCAGGAAAGGACAAAGGCTTTTTACCAGGGGAAGCCCAGAGCAGCCAGCTTGCCTGCAGTTACTTACCAAGGCCAGAGGCTTGCAAGTAGGGGGGCAGGAAGAGGGCTGGAATAGAGACCCAGAAGAGTGAAGGGCTTTGCTCAAATGTCCTTGGTTAGGAAACAGTCAAACTTCTTAGCCATGTGACTTTAGAGAAATGTTGTAACCCTCTCATTGCTTAACCTCTCTCTATATGTAAAGTGGAGTTAATCAGAGAGAGTAAAGAGAATATAGAAGATGAGAACATTATTAAGTGAACTAATATTAACATTTGTGAAGCATTTGGATCAGTATCTGGTGTGTGTTTGCTGAATGCATAACAAAACTAGGACTTAAACCCAAGGCTTTGGGCAGTTATGTCCCTCTGACTTTATTATCTGTCCTATCCACTAACCATACGGGAGGCACAGGGTACACACATAGCTTAGCCACCAGCCACCCACAGTTAGGCTGGGGTAAGGGCCTGGCAGTAAAGACAATGTGTAGGAAGGGGGTATGTGACAGCCTTGGCTGGCTTGAAAGACCTGAGCTGAGGGCAGCCAGTTTCTTCCAAAAGTCAGTATCTTTTCCTGGTCCTTGGCTTATTCCAGTAGAACCTTCTGGAAGGTTGCCTATTTCCTCAGTGTTTACTGGACAGGCAGATATACTAGAAAATGAGACTACCTTGTTCTCTTCCCTCACAAATCCTAGGCCAGGGGATATCGGATCTCAGCTTTCCCTGGCAGACCCTGGGAGTATGTGGGGAGAAGAGTGGCACTCGGCCTTGGAGCTTTGAGTGCCTGCTGTTTTTCCAGACATTGTAGGGGACATCACAAGGAGTGGGACTCCCTGAAACAGGCTCCAGGTTTCAGCAACAGGAATCTAAGGAAGAAGCGATGTAGAGCCTCAAACAGGGATGTAGCCACCCAGAAAAGAGAAGCGAGGTAGATCAGCCAGGATTAAACCCAGTCATAAGTATGATAGAAGTCCCAAATAAGTGGCTTGAAAATGATATTATTTCTCTTGCATACTAAGAAAGCCAAAAAGATAGAAAACCAGGCCACCGAGGAATACTAACATAGCTGACAAGGATTGTCGGGATCTCTGGCTTTATTTTATCCTTCTGCCATCCTGAGGCCATGGCTTCTACTTCACATGAAAGATAGCTGCTTGAACTCTAGCCATCTTCACCACAGTTCTTATTCATAATCCACATTATCCTTCAACTGAAGATCATCTCACAGCCACTGAAGTCCTTATTTCACGTGGCCATAGCCCAGTAAAACTCGAGATTCTGCAAAAGGAACTTTGTATCCAAGGACAACTAGCAATCTACTGTGGAAGAATGATGAAGCAGGTGACACTGAAGATGAGTCTTCTGGGAAGGACTTCTAGAGCTGGACTTGAGGGTCAGAGGAATTCTAGAAGGCAACAGCCATGGTACAGAAGGACCTGGGGTATACTTAGAAGGTGGTGTGTGGTCCATGTACCCAGGCAGAGGGTAGTCAAAGATAACCCAGGGGAGATAGATGAGGTATGGACTCTATGTGATTCAGAGATGTATTCTGGGGCAGTGGGGAGATGTTAAGACCCTTTGAGCTCCAGCTTAAGAAGCAAGTGGAGGAAAGCTGCAAGAAGACGTTGGTAGGTGCTGTTAATGCTCAGATCTAATCATCAAAAAGCAGACAGGCTATTGACACTAGCCCTTCCTCTAAGGATCAGGAGTGACTTCTCCATAGTTGGGGCTGGGACCCTATATATGACTGAAAGGAGGTTCAGTAGAAGACCAGGCCTTTGGACCTGGAGGGAAGTCAAAGGACAAGTGTTTGGGGCCAGTCCTCCAACAGTCAAACCGCAGGCAGATGTGGCCCCTTGCATTTGTCCTGCCATTCCATCTGACAACATCCTCCACTCCTGTGACTGTGAGAGCAATAAAATTTAGGGCTGGGAAGAAGAAAGCTGAGAATTCTAGGAGGACTGGACTGAGAGTCCAGCAAGTCTATCCCCTGCCTCACCACTTTCCACCTGTGACACCCAAGATAAGTGATGCCATCTGTGGCCTCAGCCTGTCTCTATCTAAAAAGTCAGACAGAATGTGGCCTCCTGAGGTGCAGCTGTGGCATGAGGGGCACTTGCTGTGTGTGATAGAGAAGGGCAAGGGGCTGGCTGCTGCAGGTGCTAGTTCCCATTGAGATCTATGCCTGGGGTAGTTGTGGCTGGGGCTTAGGAACCTCAGGATGGGGTACAGCTGTGTGAGTGGTGGTCCACAGAGCCTGGGAGAGAGGGCAAATGCCAGGCTGCCTTATGCTCACAGTGTGTGCTGGAGGGCACTTTGGGCAGGACTGTGCTCAGCTCTGTTCCTGTGCCAACAACGGGACCTGCAGCCCCATCGATGGCTCCTGCCAGTGCTTCCCTGGATGGATTGGCAAGGACTGCTCACAAGGTAAGCTGCTGCCCCCTACAAATGCCCTCACCCAGCATCACAGCCTCTTTCTACCCTGGTGCCTCTACCTGCAGGGAAGAACTGTCCTGCAGTCAAGAATGTCCACCCAAGACCCAGTTATTTATTTGTATTATTACTATGGGTACCATATATGTATAGGGGTACACGTACCACAGCATGTGTGTAAAGATCAGATGACAACTTTATAGAGTTGGTTCTCTTTGTCCATATTTACATGGGTTCTGGTGACCCAACCTAGGTCACCAGGCTTGGGAAGCAAGTACCTTTATCCACTGAGTCATCTTGTTCCCCCACCCACCTTCCAACCTACCAAGTCTCATTTAGTGCTATAGCTAACTTGATGAGTTATTGGGACCGACCATAAGTATTGTTACTGCTGGTATTAAAGGTGTTGACAGTACCATTAATTCTATATATGAATTATGGGAAGTAATATTCCATTAGCGTCTACCTGCAGAATGAGCAGCCTCTTAAGTGTGGATGGGGAGGAGAGGACAAGGCTGGCACGCTGGAGTTTATGAATGGAGAAGCGTGGCAAGCACAGTCATCCCTGGAGGGATGGGGGCACTTTCTGGGATGGCCTTTGGAGTGCCACATCTGATGTATGAAACCTAGCCAGTTCCTCTAGGGAGGGCCCAGTGAGATGGCTGGGCCTGGGGGAATTCCACTCTGTGGGAAGACACAGGCTGCATCCTCAGGCAGCTCAATACCCCAAAGATGAGAGAGCCCCTATCCTAGGAAGGTCCCTGCCCTGGTGGGGAAGTCAGCACCCTTAGTGTTTACTCCACTCTAACCCACATCAGTCCCCCTAAGAGTAGAGGCACAGGAACTTGAAGTGGGGCTGCCTTAGTCACCCACAACTAAGAGAGTGGGCAGATAATCTGGACCTCATGGGAATCCCTGGTCACTAGGCCAAGAGGAGCTAAAACACACTGGGAATAGGGTATCAAGTGCCCCAAGACCAAAAGATGTCCCCAGGTCCATCCTGGTGTCCTAGCTCTGACATGTACTCCCCTTCCCCTCCCTTTCCACCTGCCCATCTCTGCCCTGACCTCACCTTCTGCATCCTACCCAACCCCCAGCTTGCCCACCGGGGTTCTGGGGCTCTGCCTGCTTCCACACATGCAGCTGCCACAACGGGGCGAGCTGTAGCGCCGACGATGGGGCCTGCCACTGCACCCCTGGCTGGACTGGACTCTTCTGCACACAGCGTAAGCCCCACCTCCCAGTCTCTCCCAATCCCGTACTGAGGCCTACTAGCCACTTTGTGCATAGTCTTGGCTTATGGGAGGGAGGGAAGAAAATGGCCCCAGAGCCAGCTACACTCAGGGTCACCCAAAGTCCAAAAGGTCAAGGCTATAAGATACCCCAGCAATCAGCAAGATCAGCCCCTCAGACCATGGGGAGAAAATTCCATGGCTAAAGAGCAAGAAGACCAGAGTGTGGCCTCTGCTATGGGGTGCCCTGTTGCAAAGATCCCCTTACCCCCACCCTCCAACCCTTCAGCATGAGATCTCAGGTACAGATGACTCTCTGGGTCTCATTGGCCTTTACCCCATTCTGCAAAGGAGGCAGCGGACAGATGTAGTTCCAGCAGCATCTCTGTAGTTGTCTGGAGCCCATAGCACCTGTGACCCGAGGTCTTGTTGCAGGTTGCCCGGCAGCATTTTTTGGGAAGGACTGTGGACGTGTATGCCAGTGTCAGAATGGAGCCAGCTGTGACCACATCACTGGGAAGTGTACCTGCCGAACAGGCTTCACAGGGCGCCACTGTGAGCAGAGTAAGCTGCTCCAATGTTTCGCCTGGTATCTGGGCGGTGATTCTGCCTACTACAGGGGAAGCCACTCCCCTTCAAATCTCCTCGTCCAGGGATCTGTGGCTCTTATACTTCATACTTTCAGGGTAAAAGGAGACTGAAGGTCAAACCTGTACTCCTGCTTGGAGAATCTTTTCCTTCACCTGAGATGGAGTGGGGGTATGATGGGCAGAGCTAGGGCCTGAGTGAGGCCCCAGTGTGGGTTTGGCATACCACTTAAATGTGTTGATGAGTTGGGTAAGGCCTGCCCTTTCCTCCTCTGTCCATCCCCAGCAATCTAAACACAGTGAACACTCCAGTTCAATAGACTTCACACTGGATAGGACAGAACTGGCTTATAGCCATGGTCTTCCCTGCATGGAGGGAGGGGTAAAGTATGGCTGTGTCTCACTGTCTACCTGCACTCTTTGTTACACAGGATGTGCCCCAGGAACCTTTGGCTATGGGTGTCAGCAGATATGTGAGTGTATGAACAATGCCACTTGTGACCATGTCACTGGCACCTGTTACTGCAGCACTGGATTCAAAGGAATCAGATGTGACCAAGGTAACACAGAGGTGACAGAGTGCCTGGGCAGGGTGGGAAGGACCCAATGATGGATCCAGAGAGTGCCACCCAGAGCAGTTGAATTTTATAAGGACACTACCTTGTATTCATAATTGGGAGAGGAGCAGCAGGGATCCTTTTTGATCCCCCATGCTCATCCTTGGAGAGCTCCCCATGAGCCAGGTAAGGGTGAATCACAAGCTAGTGCTGGGAAAGGTCTCCAGGCTGAATCTGCCAAGTTCCACTTCTGCCACTCCCTGCTAAGTGTCCTCTGTATTCTTTTATTGAGTCTGTTGTTCCCCCCTGCAAATGGAAAGAGGTTAACCTCTGTCTCCATGTGCACACAAGGCTAATGAACACGAGAGGCTCAACCTTGGCTCTAGCTCTACAGTCAAGCAACAGCTTATGATGCAGCTGAGGCAATGTAAGGGGCTTTGACACATGTGAGCACTCTGTAAATGGCTTTGTGCACATAAGATTCCTTTATAAAGTGCTGTACGTTGTTCGTTGGTTCTAGATGATGGGGGCAGAAAAATGGGCTCTAAATTACCCACATAAGACAAGCTTCCTTTGCAGTGTTTCCTCCTTGGTAACAATGATGAGCTCTGTTCACAGCCAGCAGTGGAAAGCAGGAGGGGTCTAGATGCTGCTCAGTTAGAGGACAGCCCCTGCACAGAGGGGCCCAGCCATACAAGTATAATCAAGAGGGTGTCTTGGGGGCAGTAATCCCCGGCAAGCACCCAGCTCTCAGCTTTCAAGGCCAGGCTACCTTTGGTGTTTATAACTTGCTAGCGAAGGTGGGATTACTAGCCCTCTGTCAAAGGAACAAACTCTGGCTTTCTGAATTACATAGCTGGCAAGCAGGAAGAAGAGCTGAAGCCAGTTTTTCCTGACTGCCGATTACTGGTTGGGTGGATCTTGGTCAAGTTACCTAACCTTGGTGACTCAGTTTTAGTTTTCTTCTTTCAACTGTGTGGAAAGGGAAATTAGTCCGTTTTTACATAGGGCTGCCACAAAGATTGAGAGTAACTTTAACTCACTATAATACAGAGTAAATACTGCATAGGCATTTATTTTATTATAACCCTAGGACTCAATCCCCTTTAAAGATGGCATTTGAAAAAAACAGAGGCACAGGGAGGGATGGGAAGGCAGAGCCAGCCAGAAGTGTGTGGGGATACAGGCAGCTCTGAAGAGGAAACTCAGACCTCCCTCTGTCCACAGCTGCTCTCATGATGGATGAGTTGAATCCCTACACCAAGATCAGTCCAGCTCTGGGTGCAGAACGGCACTCGGTAGGCGCCATCACAGGCATTGTCCTCCTGTTGTTCCTCGTCGTGGTGTTGCTGGGCCTGTTTGCTTGGCGCCGTCAGCGGCAGAAAGAGAAAGGCCGTGACCTGGCTCCTCGTGTTTCCTACACTCCAGCCATGAGGATGACCAGCACTGACTACTCTCTCTCAGGTCAGGATATGCCCAGCATCTCCTCCCTACCCACATAATCCAGGAAGAGGCATGTGATCTTGTATTAATGGCTCAAAGAGTGTTATACCTGCAGGACAGGTGGCTGAGGGTGGGAACCTATTTGGGGTTCTAAGGCATTGTTTCCTGGAATCCAAGCTCTTTGCAGCTCTGACTGGGTACTTCTCCACCCTCCTCATCTGGCTGCAGCTACATGAACAGTAAGCAGTAACTTTCCTATCTCCCCAGTATGATGGATGCCTGGGCCACCTTAGCAGGCTGGGCAGTATCAACTGCTTTCCTGGGGGAAGGCCACTGTCCCAGAGAAGGGCCTGGCTAATGTAGTGCATGGGGTGGTACCTGACTTGGTAGAGTTCTACAAGGTTGGGAAGAGTCCTTCTGATAGATATGCTACAGCCATGTGCCCACATGTGGTAGCAATACCAGTGGACATCCTGTGAGAGTCTGAGAGGGTGGGTATGGGGCTACTGGGCCAGATCCTTTCTCTCCCCGGAACTGGTACCTTGAGAAGGCTTTTTGCTTTGCTTTTAGCGAACTGCTAAAGGCTCCAAAATTGCCTCTAGCCTTGGGCCACAGGAGGTTGAGCCTGCCCTAGTGAGCATAGGGTGATGACTCTCCATGACTTGTAGCTGTCCTATAGCCTCCTAACTCTGTGCTTAAGAGCATCCAGGCCACTTCAGCCATTCCTGCCGAGTACCTGCTCCATGTCAGAGGCAGGATACAGAGCTGGCCCCATAGAAATTACCTTCGAGGACCTCCTGAGGTTCAACCAAAGCCAATATTCTCTGATGAAAGTCCATGCCCACAGACATTTGGGGGTTTTCTTCTATGATGACGATGAACAGGGGTGACTAGGTATTCCCCAGCCCTATGGAATCCTCAGAGAAGGGCTGGCGGCAAGAAGAGTAGGGTTCTATTTATGTACTTAATATTGAGGTCTGACCCTAGGGGAAGCAAGGAAAAGTCAGCCACTCTAAGCGGCAACTTAGGATATATGAGGCCATGAGAGCCAGCATTTGACAGGCTCCAGACAACAGTGCCACCCTTATACTATAAGCCTTGTCTTATGAGCTATAGGGAGGGCTTGCATAAACAGGAGCAAGCCAGGCTCTCCCTAGCTTGCTTTACAGCTAGCGGATGCCAGACAGTTTGGGGAAACTGTCTCTCAAAAATGCCCATCCCCAGCATTAGTTTTAGGGGTATCTCATGCCAAGGGCAGGTATATGATGGAATATGGGTCCTTGTTCTCTTCCCAGATTTGTCTCAAAGTAGCAGCCATGCCCAGTGCTTTTCCAATGCCAGCTACCACGCACTGGCGTGCGGGGGGCCTGCCACCAGCCAGGCCAGCACTCTGGACAGGAACAGTCCCACCAAGGTACCGGCCTCCTGGCTCCCCAGCCCCCACCCACTGTTCTCTCACTGGCACTCCCCTCTGCCCAGGAAGGAACTGCACCCCCCACATGGAATCTCCATGTAGAATCTCCACGTAGAACCACTACATGAAGAGCAGCCTTAGGACTCATGGGAATGTGAATACTCTGAGTCATAGAACAGGGTGTTTCCTGTTGTATGGAGACAGCAAGTGTCATCTCATGCAAGCCACACTGCCGTCACTCATTAGAACATAGCACTGTACCTGTGTGTAGACAACTAGTACTTACTAGTACAAGCAATATCATGTGCAGCCACTTTACTGTCTAAGACAGATCACTGCAGCATGTTAGCAACACAGTATGAACTACTATCATCCCATTAACCCCTTGATGCCTCTTAAATTTGGACATACTCCAAGTTATCAACACAAGAGATACAGAACCAAACACTGTAGCTAGCATTATCACTGAAATGGGGGGTCAGCCAAATGTGGAGCCTCCTGACAGCTGCAAACACAGCCCTGGCTCATAGCACAGCTAGATGTCCCTAGTTACAAACTCCTGGAGAGTGATGTCTTTGCATGTAGTGTGCCCCTTGAAGGACTAGTAAAAAGCACAGAGAGACAGACAGGATAGTCCCCAAGAATAAGGTTTGTGAGGGGCTCTTGCTGCACACCTCCTGACAGCCACCTGAGAATGTGACATACACATATACTGAAACCATTTGGGGGAGTGGGCAGTCCTAAGAAGCCTGGCTTCCTGTAACAGCAATCCTGGGCTAGGAGCATAGCTTTCATATTCCAGGCATCTGCCCTGGACTCTGAGGATCCCTCCATCCCTGTCTGTTCCCTGGAGAATGACTACCAGCCCACAGACCTGGAAGCATTACAGCCTGGGCCCCACAGTAACAAGGGTGGCCAATCAAGACAGCAGCACCTTGTCGGCACTCTCAGCCTGCTTTCCTATGAAACAGGCTGCACGCAGAGTGCCAAAAGGCCCAATAGCTTTGGCCACTCTTCCTGCCAGATTCTTGTTCCCAGGTTCAGCTTTAAGCTTGAGGAGCTGAGAAGGGAATTTAGTTGCTCAGGATGAGGCCCTTGACAAACTACTGTCATGTTATAAAAGCTGCAGCAGGCTAGAGGCCATAGCCAGGGAGACAAAAGCTCCAGGCCATGCTATTTGTCTCATTCTACTCTTTCAGTAAAAGGCTGGAGTTACTGTGGAGGAACCCACTTGGTGATCCTCTGGCTCAGAATAACTGTATAAAGACAAGACCCTTCCCTCTGGCAGATGAGGCATCTGCAGCAAAGACAGGCAAGCATGAGTTCTAGAGTCAGTTCTGCCACGGATTCCTGTGTGTCCACGAGCATGGTCCTATATGTGAAATTACATACATGCCCTCATGTA